TGAACTTCATTAAGATTATGACTTAAACCTCGACAATTCCATTGTATTATATTATTTTTTTTGATGCATTGTCAGGGAGGTTTACGGTAAGGGGGGTTGAGAACTTCCGCATCAACCTCGGAAGCCTCCATATCTATACTATCACATATGGCAGACTTCAAAAGATCTTGGACAGTCTTTGGAAAAGGCAACATGCTTTCCATTGCAATTGCAACAACAAGGAGCTTCGGTGCAATCCTTGTTGTCATGCTCAGACTGACCACAACGCGCAGACCGAATCGAACTCTTACAAGTTCGAGTTCCATGCCCGAAGCGTTGACAGTTGTAACATCTGAGAGGATTTGGTGTATATGGTGAAACTTTAATGTTCAGATAGCCTACTTTTATTTCGGATGGTAAATTAGGTCGGTCGCTTAAGTTTTTGTTGGTTTGTGTAGCCATGAAGAAATATTGAAGGATTCATCTCCCGAAACCCCCGACCAACACGGACCACGAAATCCGCGCGGGCTTTACGCGGGACTCCAGCGCCGGCGCCCTAGGGGTAATCGGGAGATATACTTAGACAAAAAAAAAAGAATAAAAGTTCTGGGTGGAGCAAATAAATTCCGAACTTTTATTTTTATTTTTTTACCCAATTGACCCAAGCCGCTGCTTCTGAGTCAGTGAAATGATTTGGAAGAAAAAAGATACTAACTATTACAAGAAAAAATTGAATCTGTTCTGACCACTGACTCATAGGCTCAACACGACTAGCCGATTGACCAGTGTGGGCCACACTGGCCACCCGTCTAGGAATCCCCTGGCCCAAAGTGATGTATTGGAAAGTATGTTATCCCCTGGCCCAAAGTGATGTATTGGAAAGTATGTTACCCTCAACCACCAGGTGTCCATTCAAAACCGACACGGGTCGCACCTCAAGGCAAATGAGGAGCCCCAATTCAGTCGCCTCTTACGACACGCAATGGGGGGCGGTGGACCTTTTCTTAACCCCGTGCCACTGGGGCGTCCTCTACCAAAGATTTAATCCCAAATTTGTTGCGGAGT